TAATTTCCTTACCTCTTCTATTTAAGCATTCTTGCAAGTAAATAAGCCAGAGCCTGGGGATTGTGAGTTCTTCCTTAATTATAGTTGATCACTGGTGATTGAATGTCACTTAGTTTATTGTAATCTGAAAGACAATGAGTAACTTAAAATGGTAGACCATGCACTCTTTCTAAATGCTAGAATCTTTCAGAGGCTATACTAGAAAATTAATTATGCAAGTGTGTCAGATATTTGGTCCTATTTTCCTTAGATATTGAGATTACCTATTTATATTTTTTTGTCAGGTCAGCAGTGGAGATGAGATGCTTAGATCAATAGTTGCAATTAATTTGAAAGACAAGAGCGTTGACCTCTTTAAGATGTACATGTACTTAGCTTTGGCAGAGAATTGGATCTTGTCTAACCCAGTGTTTGAAGACAATCCAGTACTTTTTGAGATGTTCTGTCGTTACCTTAAAGATTGTTCTAGTTTAATCTCCAGCACAGACCTACGCTCCCATGCATCAAAGGTTTGTAATCAAACTTTTTCTCATCTTTAACCATTGATTTATTAAGTTAATGATCTAATAATAGAAATAAATTTTGGCTCTACAGATTCTCAATAAAGCAGCATATCTTCTTCACTTCTTCATCGACAAATAATCGGTTGTAGGTATCTGTAGGACTCTATCCCCAGAAGACTTGTATATTCTTTTTGGCATAATTTGCTGAGGTTAATGTTAGAATTAACATGTTTGAATGAAAAGCATCCAATGGTATAGTTCATTAGATAGAAGTTTGGCATACATATGGTGCAGGATTTCTTTTTGGGGCAAGGATCTAGTTGAGTCTGGAAACCTGCCAATCTCCTGCGTATTCTTAAGAGATGTAAAATGAAGAAATATAATGTACTTTCTCTTGATTTATGTTTGGAGAGTGGAAGCACAAGAATATATATAGGAAGATGAATAACCTAGCAACTAGAAGAGTAAATACGAATTGGGTGAATGCATAAATCTACCACCCAAGACTATTTGCCAATAAATATATCAACTACCAACAAATAATTTAACAATATTTAACAAGAAATTTTGAAGGTGCCCATTACAAATGGTCAGGTGATGTTGATGCACTGGAATGATTTCATCTGAACTAAATAGTTAGCATTTTGGACAGACCTTCTGGGGAAAAATTAGAGGCCGTTCATTTCCATCATAACATAGTGTGACTAGAAATTGACTGTTTTTATAGTTCAACATCGTTGCCTTGCATGCCGTGAGTTTCCCTCTTGTGAGCTTAATCAGTATATCATCCAAGTTTGCAATTTCACAAAGATCGATAATGGGTTATAAAGCGAAGAATAATACAAGCTTTTGGTCCCTGATTCGTAGACCATTTTCAGTCAGTTTCTTCGCCGGAGACACCCAAACGAGTGATAAGGCTGCAGCACCGACAGCTATTAGACATGGACGAGGTTGAGAATGAAGATGAAGCATCTAGATTGGTCACAAGAGGTTGGGGTCAGGAGGAGAAGCACAGCCACTACGAGACAAGGTTTTTTTGGGCTGTAAGAGCGAGGACCTTAGCTCAAGGATCTGAAGCACGGTGACAACGGTGACAGAAGGAGGTTAAGGATCTGATAGTCCTGGACTCATGGAGGTGGACGATGGAGGAATTGGGTTCGATGGATGAGGACCTAAGAAGCACCAATAGGGTACGAGTATCGGGTACGATACGATACGATACGCGGACACGACTATTTTTTAAAATTTTAAGATACAGGTACGGCTATATAAATAATTAAATATTAAATATTTGAATGTCTAAAAATATAATTTAAAATAAATTAATGTTTAACTCAGCAAATATAATCCATCTAAATAAAAAAAATTAAATCAATAATTTAGTATTAAATTAGAAAACTTGATCAGGTTGCTCTGCCTCTCTCTCTCTTGGTTCAGCAGTGAAATTAAGTAATAAATATTCATTAACCAATAATATAATAATATCAATGTATATCCAAGGCTCAACATAGAAGAGTAAAAGAAGTGAAGAGCCGAAGAGTCACTCAGGCAGACAGGCATCAATACGTGAAGACTGAAGAACTAAAGATAAATTACCAAGATTAAAAGCTGAAGATGGAAGAACGACAACTGTCGAAGGCGCTGAGGTAGAGTTCAGACGGTGAGGCAGCGTGCGAAGTGAGAAGTAAAAATGCAGAGTTGAAGAACGATGACGGTCGATGAGGCAGCAAGCGATAAAGCAGCAAACGCGAGAAAAGGGTCGACTGGAGCTGAGAATCCTAGGGCATTGGGTTTCTGGAGTTGGGATTGAGTAAAAAGAAGTGAAAAATGTAAAGTTTTGCATCTACCCGCATTCGACCCGCGTCTGCCCGTGTCAACCTGTCTCGACCCGCGTTCACCCGCGTCCACCGGAAACTGGGAAAAGGGACGCGGTGTTTCCGCATCCTGAACGCGTGTCTGTGTCGGATATGTACCTGACACGAACACGCCGGCCATTTTCACGTATCGGTGCTTCTGAGATGAGGACCAACTTGCTGAATGAACGATGATGACGAGGTGCGGAAGGAACAGCTATGGCGTGCTGGCCCTCAGTTGTCCTCACGAATTGGTAGCTTGGGCACATCTCCAAAAAAAAGTTGTGGAGACTCATGGGTGTGTTCATTTGAGGTTAATTTAGTCTTCGTACATTTTTTTATTCTAAAAAATGTTACGTTAATGTTCCATTCCCGCTTTCTTTAAAATTCATACCAAACATATTGATGGTAAAATATTATTGCACTGCATTACATTGCATCGCATTGCATACATTAGTGAAAAGATATTGAATTGAACCAAACAGGTTGTTAGGTTTTTTCCTTTTTAATATTGTATGCTTGATAATCTTAATATTTTTACATTTGAACTCGTGTTCTTGCAACGTTGTTCAAATATATAGGTATTTTTTAGATAAGAGATAATTTAAATATATTATTATTCAAAAAGGGGTATTTTTTGGGGGGATGAGAAGTCTTGTCCAAAAAAATTCCTCTATTTTTTTAAAATGTCACTTTACAACCGGCTTAGGAAGTGATTTTTTAAACCAGTTGTATAATTAAGTCTTTAACTTTTCAAACTGTCCATATCTAAAGTGGGTCCAAAACTAATTTAAAAGGAATTTTTTAATCAGTTTAAAAAGTGATTTTTTTATCAGTGTTTCATTATTCAAATATAAGTTTTGCATTTGTTACCAGTGGGTCCGCTTTAAGATATAGAGACGTACATGCCTTTCGAAATATAAATTCCATTTATTGTTTGAAAAGTAGACAATTCTTTTTGTTTTAATCTTTATGATGACGATCAGCAGAGTACAAGATATAAGTCTAATCACACATAATAACAATATCATTTAATTAACTAAAAAACACAATTACTAGTCTAACTACATGTAGTATAATTCCCACTCATTTATGTTTGTTTTAGTTTTGACTATTATTCCCTTTCTCGTCCCTTTCCTCTGTGAGAGCTTCATGAGGTTCTTGCAGCCTATACGTCCATCCTCATTTGAACGGCGAACGTGTTCCTTTTCTCTTTTCTTTTCTTCCTGTGGTGAGTGAGCGCCTGTGTTTGTGGGTGTGTGAGTGGTTACTTTGGTGTAGGAGGTATGGAGGTTGGGCAGAGTAGCAGTAGAAAAAGGATGATTAAGGAGGTTAGTTTGACTCTTGAAAGGAAGGAAAAAAAATGGTGGCACGTTATTTGGGAAGTTGATAACAGACAAAAATTTCAATAAATCCATTGTGATCTCTATGATCAATAAAGGGTGGAATCTGGATAAGGACGTAGTAGTGCATAATATGAAGGCAAAAATGCTTTTCTTTTCATACTTGATGGAGAAGAAGACTTTAGTCGAATCTTGAAAGGTCGACCATGGTCGATACAAGGCCAATTGTGAAGTTTGCAGTTGCGCGATAAGTTTATGGTTTTTAAGGAGATTTGTTTTAACAACTCTCCTTTCTAGGTCCAATTTCATGGATTACTCCTAGAAGCGTTTGAGGATAATAATGTCATCACTCTTGGTAATGCTATAGGAAAAGTGCTGATGTTTTGAAAAACTGAAGATAGAAGATAAAGTAACAAGAAGTTTTGTTCGGATATGGGTTCTCATTAATTTAAATGAACCATTGGTTTCTGGCTTTCGGGTTCCACGGCCCAGAAAGAATCTTGTTTGGGTTGTTGTTCGCTATGAGAGATTACAGAACCTAGGCTACAAATGTGGACGAATAGGCCATGATATGTGTGGCTGTCGTGAAGGGCCTAAGAATTGTGATGGTGACCCTGACGAGGAGGATTCGGAAGTTGAATGAGGACCAAGACGGTTAAAACTATTGAAGACAAAGCGGTGGTTACCAGAACGATTAGGTGGAAGCATCATACTTGTCCACAAAACATCCGACGAACGGAGGTGATCAGAAGGGGAAAACGATGGTCGGAGGTAAAATCTTGATACGCACAACCCATGATCACTACAATCACGCGGAGTCCATTAATAATTCTAACTCGATGGTTCGCAGTGATGAGGTGGATGTTACTGCAGGTATTGAGGGTCCTGATATCTCGAAAACTACCAAAGTGGGGGAGGAAAAGACGTAGGATATATCTAATTCTGATGCGTATGAGGAAATCTGCTGCTAACAGTATGGGAGTGATAATATTGCTTTGGAGAGGGAGCAGATAATGATTCCTAAAATAAACATGGAGGAGACTTCACCAAGGTCTCATATTAAGGCTCATGTCTCAGTCAAGCCTGTAAGTGCTGATTTGGTCAAGGAAGTGAAATTAAGGGCCCAACAATAGCACATAGTGAAGTTACCAGCTGATAAAGAGAAAACCACAAAGGCTATTATTCTTTTTACTGGACTGTCTCCAATGTCCACTATTACTATTGGGCTCCATGATGTTCCACATAAAAGGCCTGTAGTGGACTCTCCAAATCAAATAGATCCAAAAGGATGACGAACGTCAGCATTTTGGGGAGGAGAGTGATGCGGCGACAAGTACTAGTCCAAAGGAGACTCAAACAGGAGAGGCGTCGAAGCTGCAGGTCCCTAAAGGGGCAAATTCGCATCAATGGAGGAGCCTCTAACTCGAGAGCTTTACCCGCTAAATCTGTTACCTCTGAAATTGATTTCCCCTCAAGCTGGCTGGTTAAGGGAAGTGACAAACATGGTGAAGGTAACTCTTTCTCTACTCAAAAAGCTAGTGGCTGGTTGGGACCAACCACCGGTTCACAATGAAAATCTTATGGTGGAACTACCAGGGTCATGGGGTTCCCCTGACAGTCAAGAACTTGAAGGATGAATGTACCTGTAATACACCCCAAGTGGTTTTTCTTATGGAAACCAAACAAAAAAGCATTGTAGTTCGGAAGGCAAGAAGGAAATGTGGTTATACTGAAGAATGGATTGTTGATCCTATTGGTATTGGTGGTGGTTTAGCTCTCTGGTGGTCGGATGATATTACTATGAATATCTTATTCTCTTCTTGTCATATTATTCATACAAGTGTAACAGCCACTGTGTGACTCCCCTGCATATACTACGTTTATTTATGGGCCGCAGAATGAAGGGGATAGAAGACTTTGTTATGAAGAGTTGAGGCACATTGCTGGACATATTTCTCATTCTTGGTTATGAGTAGGCAACTATAAGGATATGTAGTTCCAAGCTGAGGAAATTGGAGAAAGGCCTAGAGCACTGAGGAAAATCATGAATTTTTTTTAATTTCATTAATCCTTGTTCATTAATGGACCTGGGTTTTAATGGGTATAGGTTTACGCGGTGTAATAACAGGCTGAATGAGGGACTTATCAGAGAACGAGTGGGCAGCTTAGAGAGGAATTTCCTAAATTACAAGTGTTTCACATTGATCCTATGGGGTCGAACCATCGTTTTCTCTTAACTAATTGTTGTTACAGATTTTCCAATTGAGACAAGGTTTTCAAATTCGAGACCTCCTAGACCATGCATACAGATTATAATAAAATTATTCAACGAGGGTGGCTAGCTGATTCTCTACATGCCAACTCCAATCTTGACATTTTTCTAATGAAGTTGAAAGTTTGCGAACATGAACTTACCAAGTGGAGCCGTGAGGAGTTCCATAATAGCAGAAAACTTGTTGAAAGATTAAAAGCACAACTTGCTCTCTATACGTAAGGGGATCTAACAGCGAATTCTATTTTGGAGGTAAGCGGGTTGAGTAAGAGATTGAGAATGTGCTTGAGAAGGAAGAGCAATATTGGTGGCTACGCTCTTGAGTGAATTAGTTGTTGGTGGGTGACTGGAATTCTAAGTTTTTCCATACGATAACATTGAGAAGAAGGCAATATAATAGTATTCTCCAAGTCATAGCTGATACTGGAACTTGGTTATCTGATAAGGTGGAGATTTCGAGTAACATTACTTCTTACTTCCAAAATCTGTTCTCAACATATGGAGTGAGACCAATGGAGGAGGCCCTTAGCTTTGTGGATGTCAAATTGATGAGGTATGAATGCTCGGCTACGTGCACCAGTAACGAGAGAAGAAATAAAACAAGCTGAATTCAGTCAGGGAAGCTCTAGGACACCTGGTCCGGATGGTTTCTTAGGTGAAAAAGTGGCCTCCATTATGCCAGGCAAGGTTCTCAGGCAGGGTGACCCGTTATCCTCCCCGTACTTGTTCATATCAGTTGCGGAGGAATTGTCTAGCATGGTCATTAAGAGTCATAGGTCATGGCATCTCAAAGGAATCAAACTCAGCCACTCTTGCCATGTACTTACTCATAGCTTCTTTGATGATGATATTCGATTTTTCATGAATGCAAAGGATACAGACTGTGCTGCTCTTGCCCATATTCTGAATATCTATTGCACTGCCTCTAGTCAAACATTGAATTTGGATAAATCAAGGATTTCCTTTACAACAAATACGCCCACTGAGGTCAAACTAAGAGTGTGTCAGACCTTGGCATTGGGGAGTTGGAGGACCCGGGGAAATATCTTGGTATTCCAAGTATCTGGGGGAAGACTAAACATCAAGCCTTGGGATACATTAAAGAAAAAGTGAGGTGCAAAATTCAAGGCTGGAGTAGGGCAACTCTCTCTTATGAAGGTAAAGTTATGATTAAATCTGTGCTCAGTGCTATGCCTATATACCCGATGAATTGTCTCAGGTTTCCCCTTAAGACTTGTAAAGAACTTAGGCCTCATTTGGTATGATAGAAGAGTTTTTGATGAAATTGGAATCGGAATTGGAATTGGAATAGAATTGAATTTTAAAAGTGTGTTTGGTATAAAGATGGAATCCTGATTTAATTTTAATACATATATGTATTTAAAATATGAAAAGACTAAAATATCCTTTTAAAAAAATCATCTCTCTCATGTTCGTCTCTCCCCTTGGCCATTGTCACTGTACGAAGATCTCTGTAACTTTCAGAAATATGGGTTGAACCAGAAAAAATTTGGAGCATATTCATAACCCACAAAATCCCCACGAGAGCACTGTCGAACTTGATTCCATGGCTGGGCGACCTCCATGCTATCATCCCACCAGGTTTACCTTTTATATTTTTTGTTTTTGTAAATCACATGTCCTTTAGCTGGTTCATCACGGCAACAAAAGCGGCAATGATGATTGGAGTTTAACAATGAAGTTGAAGGTAGGTAGGTGGAGGTGGTTGGAGGTGAAGCAAATGATGATGGATGAGGGTGGAGGAGACAGAGAGTGATGAGGGTAGAAGTGGCTTTAAAGTTTAATTCCAGAGAATCGAACGGATTCCATGGAGCCTGAGATGGAATTGGATTCTGCATTTTTTGCTGGAATTGGGATTCCAATGAATCCAAAATCTATAATACCAAACAAACTTACATCAAGAATCCATTTATGATTCCATTTCCAAACTTAGAATTCCATCGTACCAAACAGGGCCTTAATAGTCTGATTTCTGATTCCTGGTGGGATGGTGAGGTGGCCAAAGGAGGAATCTATTGGAGAGCTTGGGACCTTCTAACAGATTCTAAAGTGACTGGTGGAATGGGCTTCAAGGATTTTGTGAAAATGAATGATGCATGGTTAGCGAAAACAGCTTGGAGATTAAGGCAGAAGCTGAATGAGCTGTGGACAAGAGTTTTTAAAATCATATACTTTCCCAAAGGTGAACTCACTGATGCTGAAAAGGGATTTAAGGCATCTGTGTTGGTCTAGCATCCTGGATGTTTGTGATTGCTTGAAGAAAAATTTACTCTGGGATATTGGCGATGGCACATTGATTCGAATATGGGGTGACAATTGGATCCCAAGTGTTAATTTTCCTACGAAACCTGTCAATGATCAGTCCTTTATTGTACAGCATGGCAAGGTCTGTGACCTCATTGTTGATGGCAGATGGGATATTGCCCCAGTTCATGACTTGCTTCCTCAGAATATTTTGGATGCTATTGTTAATATTCCTTTACATAACAATGATCTGGAGGATGAACTCATGTGGACAGCTGCTAACAATGGTGTTTATCAAGTGAAACTTGGTTATAGAATGGAGAAAAATCATCATGCTAAACCAAGTATCAAAGCCAGTCCTTCCTGGAGAATTTCTTCAGATATTTGGAAAGGCATTTGGAAGATTGGATGTGCACCTCGGGTAAAACATTTCATTTGGAGAATCTTATCCAAGTCGATAGCAACCCACGAGGCTCTCTATGCAAGAAGGAGATCGAGGAATCCACTGTGCCCAATCTGTGGAGTTGAGGTAGAGACTATAGAACATTTATTTTTTCTTTGTAGTTGGGTTCGAGCTATTTGGTTTGGGTGTAATTTAGGAGTGAAATTTGATCCTTTTAATGTGCATGCCTTTTGAGAATTGGTGGGATTTCATTGTGGATGGTAGAAGTGGTCTCACTGAATATGACGTAGCTTTTATCTGCCGGATTCTATGGCATACATGGAAACCTAGAAATGAGAATGTTTTCCAATTCACTAGTCCTAGACCTGAATCTGTTCTTGCATTAGCTAAGGCGTCTCACTCTTGAGTATTGGTTTGTTCATAATGAGCCTACACATGTTGCAGATGCGCTCTGCTGGGTGATACTTGTGGTGTGATAGAAGAAAAGGGTGGTTGGAAACCGCTCCTTGCTGGCGTTCACAAAATTAATGTCGATGGTTCTTATTCTGCAAATTCTGATTATGCTGCAATTGGTGTCATCTGCCGTGATTCTACAGGTTCCTTTCAATGGGGCTTTGTGGATAAATTGAAATCACTATCAGCATTTATGACTGAAGCTCTTGGTCTGAAACGCGCTCTGATGCTTGTCATTCATCATGGCCATGACAAGGTGCTTTTTGAAACGGATTGCAAACTACTGTTTAATTGTGTCTCCCTTAATCAACCAGAGTTATATGATTGGAAAAGTAGAAGTGTTGTCCATAATTGCATTGTAACTCTATCATCTCAGGTTGGGTTCTCTCTTTTATTTACTCCTAGACAGGGTAACGGAGCGGCTGACTTTCTAGCGGTTGTTGCTTTTAAGGAAGTGTACCCGATAAGGTGGTTGTTTGAACCAACACTTCTTTTTCCTCTATTCTAAACCCAGATGCAAACAAAAGCTCTGAAGACATCCTCCTTTACTGTCACCAATGATGTACCTGTTGGTGGTTTAAGTCTTTTTCTACTGTTCGGAATTTGCGTTCTCGTATTTCTGGTTTTTCTTGCTTTTTGCTCTTTTGTAATGCTTCTGGACCTTTATTCTCATTAATGAAAGCTGCCCTATCTTTGATATATAAAACATAAAACAAAAAAAGAAAAGAAAAAAACATGTGTTTATTTTGGTTTTTTGTCACGAAAGATGTTTTTTTTTTTTTTTAAGGTTCTCCTTGTCGTTCAACATTACTCCATTGTAACCTGTACATTGTCTAAACACAACGTAGCCTTTATTATATTGCACTTCCTCTGTTTTTTATTATAAAATATTTTTAATTATTTCACACATCTTAAAACAAGTTTGTTTTATTCTTGATATTATAAAAAAGTAGAATATATTTTTATTTTTACCTTTTGATTTTAAATAATAATATAATTACATTAAATATCTTCACGCTAATTAAGAAGGGATAAAATTAAAAAAAAATGACTTAATTATTGCGAGGTACTCCCTCTGTCTCAAATTATAGGGCACTTTTAAAGGAGTTTTCTTGTCCCAAAATATAAGATGAACACTTTGAATATATTAAGGTTTCATTAAATGCATCAATTTTAAATTTACTCTTTTTCTCTCTAATTAATTTTCATTTATTCTCTTTTTAATATATTAAATGATAGATATTTTTTAAAGTTTATATTTTTATTTTGAAAAGATAAGGTTGTTAAGTATATTTAATAAGATTTATTGATATGTAAAATTTTATCTAAAAGTGTTTTATAATTTAAAACAAATGAATATCATATATCAATTTTTAGACTCATTACTTTCAAGCTCGTGCTGTTTTCCCATGATGAGAAAAATAGTTGAGATGTTTCGAAATAACAATAACAATTACAGAAAATTTTTGGGGCTATAATAATTTTAGGTTCTCGATTATATAATGCTAGGATTTTTTGCTTTTGATTAATTACTTTCGTATTGAAAGCTTAATTTACATTTAATATATTTCATATTTAATTTGTATATAGATAGAATTCTAAAAGAATTTGGACAGCCAACACCTTTTACTTTGATAAACATTATTTAGTAGATAGAAATGAGAATAGAGTTGTTTCTTTGGTTTGTTTGCGTTTATTGCTTATTAGGATATGATCGAGCTTATTGTCATTTATATGGTACAAAAAAGAGATCGGATCGACCAAGTAATTGGCCCACTTTGGTTGGTTTGACGTGACCTTCAGATAGCCTTACCTCTCAGCCAGTTGAAAAATGCCTCCTAGCTTGGTGACGGACTGCCACGGTAGATGATGGATGAAACGTAATCAAGCCCACATAAAAAAATTAATTGTGGCATTTTATAATACAAAAATTATTATAAATTTTTAGTTTAAATTATTATATATTTCTAGAACAATAAGCATAAATCATATAAAAACTTGGGCCCATAAAATCATGTCCAATTATCTTATAAGGAGAATGGCTGACTGATGATTTAAGTGTGTTCGTGTAGGAAACTTGGGTTTTGTATAAACCAAAAATATTTATAAAAATTATAAAAAAAATTTAATAAATTTGATCATCAATCTGAATAGTCCAAATTTGTATTAACCAAATAAAAGTTTACAAAAATAATAAAAAATTAATATTCAATCTGCACCGCAAAAAATATATTTATATAGTTAATTTTAATTTTATATTTATTTTTGATAAATCTGCTCATTAGTCATCGTCAGTCTGGACAACAGTACAATTTAGCATTGATTTTGTTTTATAATTTTTATACATTGACCATCTAGATACAGAACAATGTAAATTTAATATTAAATATTTTTAATTTTTATAAATTTTATTTTGTTAATACAAATCTAAACTATCTAGATTGGTGATAAAATTTATAAAAAAAAATTTATAATTTTTATACAAATTTTATTTTAATAAATAAAAAATGAAAATGAAAATAAAAGCATTACATCTAGACGGTCTAGATCTTTTCCATGAGGGCAATGGGCGTACAGCATAGGGAACAAGAGGAGGAGGACAGTCAAGTCCAATACAGATTTATCAAAAAAATTATAAATATTTCTTTTAATAAATATAAAATAAAAATATAAAATAAATACTTAAAATCTAGATCATTTAAATTAAAATCTAAACCATCCAAGTTACTATCAATGATCAAGATCTCATTATTACGGTAAGCACGGAAGCAAGCCGGAGCCCATAACCACTGTAATGACTTTTTCCGATCATGTACTAGTGATGACAAAAGAAGATAAACGGTTATGGTAATTCAGAGCTTGAGGTCACGTATGGCTACAAAAATTTTAGCCTATAGAATGATAATCATATCCCCATTCTAACTTTATTTATATTTGGTTACTTATAAGAGACATGGACTCAAGAATATGGATTATTATATTTTTAAGAAAGAAAAAACCTTTAAAAAATGGGAGGAATCATGTCATCTGCCTTGAATTCAATATGTTTTTACCAAATTTCCTTGTTAACTTTCATATCTAGCCTATTTCCCTCTTATTATTTTTTTCATTTTTGTCAACAGTCAATTTTCTAATATTTTTACATTGATTTTTCATAAAAAATTAAATTTATTAAAATTTTTAGTTTTAATTTTATTTTTTATTTTCTCTATAGAATATTTTTAATCTTATAAAAAATATTGTTTAAAAGAAGTTTTTGAATTTAGTTAAATTTTAAATTTGATCCCCTATGCATGGTATTTTATATATCTTTCTTAATGTTTTTCTCTTATAAAGTAAAATTTAAATTTAAAATAATTTTTTTTAAGGAACATTATGCCTATGGGTATAAATTTAAGCTAAAAGTCTCTCAAAAACTTTTGAACGAAAAGGAAAGAAGGCAAATGCATTAATCCAAGAAATAATATAGTTATGATCTTTTTATTTTAATTTGTATTTAAACAAATAATATAAATAAACTCCATTCTCACTTATTTAAGTATTCTGCAAACAAATTCATAGTTATGATCATTCCATGCTTTTCTATTCTCCATGATTCTATTCATTTCCATTACCTTCTTTTCCATTAATCAAAGGTGACCTTAGTTTCAGTTTTTTGGAAGTATGAGCTTAGCTTGATTCAGAGAAAATTTTAATAGATTAATTGATGGTCCGCTGCTGCAATGGAGCTTCCACTTAATAAAGAGCGTTGTCTAATTAATTATGTTGGTCCTTTTTTGGGTAATCTTCTGGAGAATCCCAGGTCGGTGGAAAAGAGGTGGTGGTGGAGCCTAGTTTCCAGCCGTCCATGGTAAACACGAAACATGCCATGCACCAAGACTTATTTAATTTTGTGTTTGGATACATGTAGATTTGAATTTGTATTTGAATTTGAGTCAAATTCATTATTTGGATAATTAAAAATGTGTGAATTTTGGACATGACTCAAGTCCAAATTCAAATTCAAATTCTATCTCAATTCCTTTATAATTTTAAATTCTTTCTAAATTCCTATTATTTAAAATTTTAATGGAAGCTTATCTCTTCTTTCATGTTTGTTCGTCGACTTCGTTACCTTCTCAACTTCAACATTGTTGGAGTCAGTGCCGATTGGAATCGGACCATTGGCTATTTTAATATCCACCTTGACATTATTGGGATAACACTCTAACATGCCGTTGTGATAACCCAAGTTTAATTAAAATCCCAATAATAGTTATCACAATTCAAGAGTTTAAAAATAATTAATTCAAAATGTTGAGATCCCAAGAAAACCCATTTTAAAAGTTGTTTGAGCTCAAACTATAGTTTAAAGTAAATCATGCGCGATAACAGAAGCATAAAAGTACAAATCGATACTTAAAATCACAGAAGGAGCAATTTGGAAAAATCCAAAAATTTACACCATCTGTCGTAGCACAAGCCACATCTGCCGCAAAGGATGGCACAGAGAAATGAGTCCCTCAGCATGAATTGTGCAACGGCACGCACCTATTGTTTTGCCAGCATCCAAATTACTGTCATAATAGTACTCTAAACTTTTGAAGCGGGCAATTTTGTCATCCAATGTCTTTTTTAAGCAATTCAAGTGTCCACATGAAGCTCTTCAAACTCTTTAACTGATGGCACTGGTCTCACCCCTCAATTCTCAACTGTTAAAAGGATGAATACCTGATCCTAAAATGATCCATTTTCATTTCAAAACACATTTAAGGGTGTCCAATTCACACCACTTAGTGCCATTAACTTGGGAATCACTTTGACTAACTCAAATTGACCACAAACAACATATTAGACCAATTATATCACATAAATAAGCTTTCATACACAAAATGACCATCAAACTCCCAAATCTCATCAATGCAAAGGGGTGGATTAAATTTAACATAATAATCATTTTAACATTTTCAACACATAAACACCTCAATCCCATCACTTGTAATGGTATCTTGGCCTTTCATACACATTTAATCACAATCACTATAAGCTTAAGCTAAGATACACGCACATTCCATAATTCATACAAGTGAATACCAAAACAAATGAAATGCTCCTAAGTTGGCATTACAACATAGCATATTCATTATAAACCCAAAAAGGAAAAGGAAAGAGCTATACAAACAAAGCTCTTCACTCTTCAATCATTCCTTCCTTTTCCTTACCCATACCGGAGCTTTCACCTATAAAATATAACTACAGAGCGAGATAAACATCTCAATAATAGAATAATTTACTACTATGAATGACTATAAGGGAGTGAAATCATTATACACCAAAACATATGTCTAGCATAATTCAACATAATCTTTTTCATAATCAATATTCATTTCCACTCTAGCATGATCATTCTACCATCCAAACCTCCATATTACCCCCGACTAAAATCATAGGATCTTAGATCAAATACACATTTACAATGGTCCGAGCTCACCTTCAATGATAGGATCAACCTATCAAAGGTGTCCTATCTTACTTCTGGACTATGGTCTCCCCTATAACACACGAATCAGGGTGTCGTTTGTAACATCCTAAGTTCCCCATTAGTAATTATCAGTGTTTTCAAGGATAATTTGGTCAATTTAGATAAATTGTTGATTTAGCGAGGTTTATGGAAGACTAATATGGTTTTGAATCCTTGGACAACTTTAAAAGAGGGCTAGGT